CATTTGGGACTGAACCAGCTGATATTAACTTGCACTGACAAGGGGCAGGCTTGCTTTCTAATTACTGAGAGAGTTCAGCTGGTGTCTTGGCTTTCCATGGCTTTTTACACCTCCCTTTCTTCATGTGTTCAATACTTTTTCCCTGTGCCATTCCACATTATTACAAATAACTTCATTTCTGGACATTTAATGTTTGATTTCTTTGTATGTATGGATCACTTGGGTTGTTAGCAACATCTAGTGAAAATTTCATGTCATTAGCACCTCTAGTAATATATTTACTGAGAAAAATGGTGACGTGGTCAATACTTATTTTACCTGCTGTAGATCGATCTTTTCATTTTGCCTCTATAACTGAGTCATGAACCATTCAAATCTATATATTGACGTAGATCAATGTATTGTGATAACCCAACCCAGAACATCTAAAATCTCGGCTATAGTTGCGCGCACTCGCGCAGGGCCCGCGCCCTTGTCAGCGTTGGAGGTGTTTATACTGGGAGCTTACGTTGTAGTAGATTCTCCAAAAGGACACGTAGAAGTACACTTTATAACTTGTGAAATGTGAATAGGAGAACAAAAGCGTGACGAACAAACAAGCTGTTTGAAAGGTACGCAGCGAGTGCAGCCTATGCGGAGTTACAAGATCCTTTCAGTCTTAAAATCCTGAAAGACTTCAACAACGCGCGAGGATGGGGACGGCGCGATTGCGTCACTTTGGGCACGTGCCCGCTGGCGCAACGCGTCAACTGTAAACCTAGCTTCAAGCTCTGCAGGCCTGACCTGAAAGGTCAGAGGTCATGAGTCAACAAGAAGAAAGGTTTGGAGATAACCAGACTCAAACTTAGAAAGTGTTTCAAGGCCTGTCACATATTAAAAAAAACCTGTTGGGAAAATATTCTGTGGACTAGACAAAAGTTAAAGTAGAATGTTTTTAATGTGTTCATCCTGTTATATCTGACATGCTAACCCAAATGCTAACTTAATGCTAACTTAACCCATTGCTACCAGAACCCTAATGCTAACTTTATGCTAACCTAATGCTTACCTGACCATCACTGTTATAACCATAATGCTAACTTAATGCTAATCTAACCCATCACTAACCTAACACTAATGCTAACTTAATTCTAATTTAACCCATTGCTAACAGAACCCTAATGCTAACCTAATGCTAACCTGACCATCACCATTCATAACAATAACTTAATGCTAATCTAACCATCACTAACCTAACCATATTGCTAACTTAATGCTAATCTAACCCATCACTAATCTAACCCTAATGCTAACTTAATGCTAATCTAACCATCACTAATCTAACCGTAATGCTAAATTAATGCTAACCTGACCATCACTATTCATAACAATAACTTAATTCTAATCTAACCCATCACTAATCTAACCCTAATGCTAACTAAATGCTAACCTGACCATCACTATTCATAACAATAACTTAATGCTATCTAACCCCTCACTAATCTAACCATAATGCTAACTTAATGCTAATCTAACCCATCACTAATCTAACCACAATGCTAACTTAATGCTAATCTAACCCATCACTAATCTAACCCTAATGCTAACTTAATGCTAAGCTAACCCATCACTAACCTAACCCTAATGCTTTAGGACCTGGACACCTWGCTGAACTGATGAAACCATCAATCTTGTCATTAGAGAGGAAATGATGTAAAACTGTATTTTCGTATTTATAAGAAACTTGTAAGAGGCAGATAGTTTTTGACAGCATTTTTAAAAAGTTCCCTGTTTTTGTGTGAATTTGTTTCAGAGGTCYGGTTCAGTCTGATTCAGACAGTTACAACGGAGCAGTGAGAGAAAACTACAGTTGGTCTCAGGACTACACTGACGTGGAGGTCCGCGTGTTTGTACCCAAAACTGTTGTTAAAGGCAGACAGGTGAGAGCCGCTCACTCAGCCAACAGGAGCTGTTAACTGTCAGTCTGCTGACTGCAAGTGTGCGTGTGTGTGTGTGTGTGTGTTGTTTGTCTCAGGTTAGTGTCAGTCTGCTGAGCAGCAGTCTACGAGTGTGCGTGAAGGACGGGGCTGAGGAGAAAACACTGATGGAGGGAGAATTCACTCACAAGATCAACACTGAGAACTCTCTGTGGAGTTTAGAACCTGGAAAATGTGTTGTGGRGAGTACAATCATGCAGCAGTTCAGTCCATGRGAGCAGCACTCAGATGGGTTTATGATTATCTAATAAATACTGTTTTTGACCTGCAGCTGTCACTCAGCAAAACCTCCGAGGTTTGGTGGAACGCTGTGCTGAAAGGGGAAAAGGAGATAGATATCAATCAGATTAACCGTGAGCGCTCCATGGCCACAGTTGACGATGACGAGCACGCTGTTCTGGACCGACTCACATTRGACTACCACCAGAAGCTGCAGGGAAAACCCCAGAGCCATGAAATGGTAAGGAACCAGTGTCTCATGGGTYGAGAGCTACTGAAACAAGAAAGATGTGTTCATACCTGGGGTGCACCAATTCCCTTAGWTTTGGGAGATCAAAGATGGGCCGATATATTTAGAGAAGATCAGTGGAAAAGATCTGCCTCCACAAAGGTCTAAGTATCAGCCACTGTCTCCTTTTGCTCTGCTGTGAGCGCTACCTAATGTCCAGCTAAAACAATTTTATATTGCTTCAATCTTTTTCTATAACATAAGACTGGAACATAGAAGGTGTTTTGTGACCTTATAACACCCGACAGTGTCAGCTATTTACAAATTTGTATCGGCCAAAATCGGGATAMGCAGTTAAGACTTTATAAAGATCAGTGATCTGCCTGAAACCTGCAATTGGTGCAGCCGTAGTTTGTACCTTTTTCTCAGTAATCAAACACAACTAATGAGGTGGCTGGAGGCTCATCAGCCCCAGAGACACTAGAGCTMGGCGGTATGACCCAAATTGTATATCACGGCATTTTCAACAATTACACTGGTTTCACGGTATTTGATGGTATTTTTTCCTCACAGCTCAGCTGATAATAAAATGTACAAACTTTGCTTATTGACTTTTTTCTTTTACTATACCTCTGTATCACTATTTCCCTCCTCTTGTATGTCTTTTCTTCTTCGCCTGGTTGTAGACAGTAATCATGCATTTAGGTCCGATTGTGAAGGGTTGACAAAAGATCATTATCTGGTCCATCGTTACGTGTTAATAAAACTTAAAAGGACAACTCACCTTGCACACCAGTCAACTCTGCTACACTATAAAACTACTTCCCCCCAGGCTTTTCACAATAGAAGCACGCTAGAGTCTCCATGCAATAACGTTTCCATTATAACGTAGCGTGTTAAATCTAATCATGCACGTCACTGAAGAGTTGTTTACTAGTTTACTATTCAGCGATGGTGAAAACAGGAATTTTTTTATGTCAGATCATATAAGCGGCTGAAACACACCACCCGCCGCCAGTTGTTACAACAATAACGTTAGCATGCTAATGCGCTTAGCGGTGCTGCAAGGAAATGTGTCCCCAGGGAAACAGTTCACTGGCGGCCGCGACGAAACGTTACACACGTGTTCAGGCTATTTACACGGGTATTCAGAAAAGTCSAATAACAAAAATAAAAACCGGTTTTCGGTACAAAACTGTATACCGCCCAGCACTAAGAGTCACTGAAGCTTGTTTTGTTGATMTTCACTGACTTYTTTTGATCTGCTCCACACCTCTTTTGGTTCCACYCCYTTGGGTTCATTTCTGAGAGTGTACACCTGAGCGGGACCTGGCCAGCTTCACCTGTGGTTTCATGAGTGACCCGAGGGGGATTAAAACCAGACCGGTCGCAGAACTGTCTTGTGAAAAAGGTTTTTGTTGTCTGAATGCACTTATTGTGGATGGTTCCCCCGTTGGCGGACCAGACAGGAGTCACCCCGCAGGCCTCGGGTTTGACACGTGTCTCCTAAAATATTTAAGTCCAAAAATAGAGGTCAACATGTAACTGCATGCCCAGTGCTTTGGCAATGTTTTACCTTATTTATTTGTATTATTTATTTATTTAGATCAGGGTTATTATAGTTAACTAGAAATAACGAAAACTAAAATTTAAAAAATATTTTAGGTAACTGAAATAAATAACTAAAACAAAATGAAGAAAGTAATTAATTGAAACTTTATAATCTTTTTACAAAACTAACTAAAACTGAAATAATTGACAGAATCTCCTTCGTTTTAGTTTTTGTCAATTTATTTTAAACTGTGTGGACTGATTAAACAATTATTTATTTATTTTTTACATTGAGCAGTTTCACGTTAGCTGCGGGCGGTTTACGGCACCTCATGGTCCTTAACATCATTTGTTTACAGTCTGCTGCTGCTCAGCGCATGTCTGCAACATGATGACAAACAAAGGTTGAGAGAAAGCGGCAAAGTCCAATTTGGGATTTCTTCTAACATGACTGTGAGAAAAATAAAAGCAGGTGTCTTGTGAAAAGAAGCGATAAAATGAGTGGAGTACGTCCCAAGGGGAGAAAACGTAATCAAGCTCATCTAAGATGGCTAACTGTGAGTATCTTGATAATCTAGCTTCTCAGCAACAGTCCAGCCAAGTACAACCAGGATGGAGAAACTATCGTCACCTTCCTAAAATAATCACCCAAGTCCTTTGTTGGCAAAAGTGAGTTACGTGATTATTTTAGGAAAGTGTTGCTATAATGGACGGGTGGGACGTGTCCCTCACAGGAGACAGGAGGAGACAGGTGCATTCCAGCACAAAGACACCATCAGTAAAACAGACTGAAACAGCAGCAGCAGGACTGATTTGTTGTTGTTGTTGTTGTTGTTTTGTTGTTGTTGTGTTGTTGTTGTCAGAGTAACACCGGTGAATAACACACAAGAGCAACCCCTGATCATAGTTTGTCAATATACATGACATTATAATAGATATTTTCTGCAATAATGTCTTACAAGGAGAATCATGGTAGTTTATAGAGTACTATCAGCTTGTTGATGCTTTTTAAACATAATTTTTTTATCATGAGAAGAACCGGTTCATTGAAGAGAGAGGAGAACAGGTGGAGCTTCAGGGTGTGAGGTCCTGTTTAAAAACCATATTAAGTATAATAGATGCAGAAAGAACAGGTAAGGACTGATGTCAGGTTGATGTTTATTTCCACACTTATAAGGGTTTGGGTTAGGCTGGGATTAAGTCTTTAGCTGCAGAACAACACCCCACTAGAGTTGTGTACATTTATCTGGTGAAATGCTTCTCCATAATGATCAATACGTGAATTATTTTCTTGTTTAGTTTTAAAATGAACCATTTAGTATGTTTAGCAACAGCGATGCAGGGGCTGCACAAAGGAGACCAGAGGAGAGGAGGTACAGAGCTGGAGCTCTTGAATTAAATTAGTGAAAACTTTTACTGTAGGTTGTGCTGTAAACAGAGCTGACAGAATATGAGATGTAATGCATACATCTGTAAATCAGTTGTATGATAAAAACCTTAACAGATACTTTTTATCTTCTGTAAGTCACTTGCTGGTGCTGTACATTACATGTAGTGTTCTCTGTTGTAAACATGTTGATGCCATGCAGGGACATCAGAGGCAGGAAGTCAGTGAGGGAGAGGCAGGAGCATACCGACAGCTAAAGAGAGAGGAACACAGAACAGATATTTAATATTAGAAAATCTTCTGATGGCAATAATATTTGTAAATATTGCAATGATGATATCAGATGTGATCAAGGAGGTTCTATAGAACAGCTGGAGTGCTCATGTGATGATCGGCTGGTGAAGCTAACGGTCAACGCAAAACGGTCAAGAGTCTGGATTTCCCATTACTGTACATGTTGACAACAGAGCAGAAAAAAGGACTGACAATGTAGAAATCATAAAAACTATTAATAATAATATTAATCCTATTATTATTAATATTTTACAGTTTATATAATCTATTTAATGTTTTAAATAATGCCAGAAAAGCTGTTTGTGTAAAGGATTTATAAACAAGATAAACAGGAAAACGTCTCATTTTACAACACAAGTCAGCAGATTTGATCTTATTTAACTCAATGTGATCTGAGAAGAACTGAAGCTAATAATAAAACAGTTTAAAATTAAAATAAGTTTATAAAGTCAATGTAATAACTGTTATTTATTGAAAAGTTTAGAAGATAATAGATTGTGGAGTAGGGGTGCACCAAAAATAGTTTTAAGCATGAAAAATACAACTTTAAACCTCTTCAAGTACATTAATCAACAATTATTGTGCATCTAGAAGTCATTTGCTGTATGAATATTGCGCACACTGACATTGTGAATATATTTGTTATGCTCCTGTGCAATCCTAGCCTGGCCCTTGCCTTCCTATGCAGCTCCGCTCAATTCTAGTTTCCCTTCACTGCTCCGTCTGGGACTTCTCCCATTGAGATGGATTTCACTGGCAGATTTTTAGCCGGGCCAATCAGAGAACAGAATGTTAATGTTCTATGCAGTGTCTGCTTGTAGTTTATTTTACCTGGGCCAATCAGAGAACAGAAGGAGTTTTGAATGACGTCGATGTTCTGCGCAGTGTCTGCTAGTTAGTTTAGCATACGGCAGTGGAGGAAGTGAATGAAGCCAGTCTGTGTTGATAAGGCTTCCAAATTAAAATAAATTTGTCTGACAAAGCAGCAGCTCTCATTTACAGTCGTCTCGTTCGACTCGGTATATTTCTCCTCTCAGTAGGGTTGTTTACAGCACACGTGATTTCCGATTAGCTTCTTAGCTTAGCCTCCGTCAGCGACATACGTTGCAGCCAACTGATCCAATCATTTTAAACTTCAGCAGAGGCCACGCCTCCTGCAAGAATCACTTCTCTATGCATCAAGTCCAGACCCTCGTATGAAGCAAAGTGATGGACAGGGTCTGGTTTAAACCAGGCTAGTGCAATCCTATGAGACTCAAGATATTTTGTTGGGTGGTTTACCCACATCACTGTTTTTCCAAGAAAAGATCCAGTAGCATTTTGTGAATGTTTTGCAGTGTAGTTAATTTATGACGTATTTCTGCTCAGACTATGTACAAATCTGTCAGGTTTCCAACATTATGTGTCCCCCCTCAATAGTAAACTCAGTCCTACACACTTGGCTGCTGGTTAGTTAACTCAGAAACACCACAAGCAGGAGGTTGCACTGACAAATACGTTTTTTAAACTTTAAAAATTAATACTATAACTAATAAAACGAATAAAAACTAAAACTAAGCATTAAACAAACAATAAAAACTAATAAAAACTAGCAAATCCACTGTAAAAACTAATTAAAACTAACTGAATTCAAAGACAAAAAGTCAAAACTAAATAAAACTAAACTATAATGAAAAATCCAAAACTATTATAACCTTGATTGGGGCCAAAAAAATCCAACCCGACCCAAGTCTAAGACTAATTATCTCTAATTAGAGGCCCGAACACGACATGCTTTAATTAAGCTTTTAGCGCTTTTGTATTCAGACCAACATTTACGTTTTTTAAGCAAATCAGAGCAGAGCGGGGCGGGGCCTCGGTGCACTGCACTTCACTTCTGCACCTTACTTTCCTATTGAACCATGAACGTGCAACTGACATCCACATCTATTTTTCATCTCCCCCCCARGGTTAACAAAAAAATAAAAAATGTTTTTCCTCCYGCTACAGTCGTCGTCGTTTATATGCTGAGCTGCACAACATTTTGTATAGCGGAAGGACACGGAGAAATTCTGTTGAGTTATCCCCTTCGAGACAATATTCAGTTACATACAAGAAAATATTGATATTTATTGTTGTACATTAGAAAAAAATAGATCAAAATATACTCTTGTGTATAATCCGACTTCATGGATGATTTTTGGCATTTGGTTTTGTCTGTGCTGTATGTTTCATAGGCTTATTAAAAACTCGCCACAGAAGCGCGAGCCCGACCTGGTCTAACCATCCAGCATGTCATTTTGACCCGACCCGGGGTTTGGGTCCGGCTCTGGCTATAAATCTAACTGAAATGACCCAATGATGTGATCTAATGGATTGCCTTCATGTTTGTTTACAGAAAGTACACGAGATGTTGAAGAAAGGCTGGGACGCAGATGGCTCACCTTTCAAAGGGCAGCAGTTTGACCCGTCCATGTTCGACATCCCGCCCAGCGCCGTGCAGTTCTGAGGCGCCGCTCAAACCCAGCCAGATGTCAGCGGACTGTAGTTTTGTCATTGGAACACTCTGCAGGAACGTCAACATCTCTGAGGAAACTGAGACCATATAAATTTAGTTTTGTGGATTAGAGAGATTGGGATGGACGTGTGGTTTTTAACACTGGTTTGATGTTTCAGCAGAACCCATCCCTTTCTTTGTTGTTTGGACTTTATGTACTGACTCTGCTGTGCCTATCTTTGTTGAAATTTAGTTGTTTCGTCATAAACATGTAAGTCTGTTCAGTCTCCAGATCAAAAACAACCAAAGGTACAAAAAAAGCACATTTCTGCTCCSATGTGTTTTTTTAAAATCAGATTTCATGTTTTTACACTTAATTTGCATAGGTCAACATTACAGATTGTTACTGGATTCATGGACAAAAAAACTAAAAATCTCAGACTGTAAAAACATGATTAATCACAGAGCATAACAGAGATGAGCATCTAATTCTGTTTTACTGCTTTTAACGTCTAAACAAGCATTGAAAAAGATCTGTTGAATAAAAGTCTGTTAAATTTAAAAAATAAATGTTTTTCTCCTTTAACTGCTATCTGTTTCTCTTAATGACAGTGAGTCTTAGCACATCTCAGTTTTTAACTTTTACATAAACATTTAAAAAAATTAATTATAACAGTATTTACAGACAGACATAACAGATTTATTTGACAGAACTAAGTGGGCCCAATTTTTGGTTTTATAGCCACAAATTACTGGAGCTCCTGAGCACCAGTGTAGGGTGTGTCTCCTCTGAGGGTTGAGAAGACAGGAAACGAAGGTTTAGTCCAGGTGTATCTATGGAAAAATAAGAAAAAGACCTCGATGAGTTCATAAACCTGTAAAGTTTATAGAGAACACACTGAAAACTGCTGGGTGACCTTTAGTTCTCAGACAGAGGGTGGAATATAACAATTCAAACACTTCGACAAATCTTCACATACCCGGACCCAAAACCTCTGGACAGGCGGACAGAGCCAGAGTGCATGGATATAATTGTCTGGCACATTGCCTGTACAATGGGAGCAGTTATTAGATGAAGTAAAACCCATCTTGAACATTCGCTGGCCTGTATAATGTGCTCTATAGAGGACTTTATGTTGTATTAATTGTAGATTAGAATTTCTAGTTATTTTAAATGTTTCCAAGCATATTTTAGACCAGGTCTTTTGGTCAAAGTTGACTGATAAGTCCGTTTCCCATTTAGCAACAGGTATTGATATTGAGTCGTCTATTCTAGATAGTTTATTGTAGATTTTAGATAGCAATTTGAGGGATTTAAGATGAAGGAATTCCAATACACTTGCTGGTGTCTCTAACAATGTTTTATTAAGCTTAATTTAACATTTAATTATAAATTAAATTTGTTGATATTCTAAGAAATATTTCCTGTCTATGCCATATTGTATTTTTAATTTATTAAATGGAATAAAGTCTACGCCTTCAAATATATGTTCCAGATGTTCGATCAGCTCTAACGTGGAACAGTTTTTTTTCTTTTCCCTGAGGAGCTCTTCCATAGGGATCAGTAAAGTTATAATGTAATGTAATATTTAAATTAAATAAAATGTAGGCAATGATCATCCACAAAAATTAGAATATTAGAGCTGATTTAAGACATGGGGTCACTTGAACAAATTGTTATTAACTCATCAGTACAAACCCACTTCAAAAAATCTGTTTGTCTTCAAATACTCCAGAATTCTGAAATTCATCGCAGTTTTGCAAGAACTATAAAAATCGATCCATTACTCAGTTTCACATTACATGTTTTTTTAAACGTACATTTAATCTGAATGTTTCCCTTCGTGTGAATGATTTGACACCTTAATAAAGAAAAAAAAACCTAAATTTTTAAAACTAAAATTGTTGTTGAGCAAATAAAGTTCTTCCTCTGACTTTAAATGTGTCTAAAGTTTCCATTAGAAAATGCAAACCTCTGTTAGAGCTGAGAGTGCAGCTGTCTATATATACTAACATCAGTCAGTCATGATGTGTAAAATGTGTTGTTGTGTTCCTCCCAGATGGTTTCAGATCATTTTGATTATTGAAAATGATAAAAACAAAACAACAGGATGACAGCCAACACTCTGCCACAGTGACACCTAGTGGTGAAGATGTAGACTGTCTACAGACACAACATCCTCCCACAGTGGAAAAAATGACTTCCCTCTGGAAAGGATTAGGGCTGCCAAGATTAATCGATTAATCGACAACAAATAATCAATGACTAATTTAAGAATCGATTAATCATTTTCTTTTTTTTNAGCATTTTCCAGAAGGCAACAGATTCCCTGATCCCGTTAATCTTACTAATGATGCAACAATAACAGATAATAGTTCTGTGATAATTCAGACATCAAAACACATCTCAGTGTAAAACATTTTACTAAGTGGGGTTGAAGGAGGACGGCCTGTCTTCTCCTCAGTTCACTTTCAGAAAGCAGCAGCTTTGACATATTCAACAGCCAAATGTTTTCAGAAATGAATTTCTGATTTGTTTGTCCACCATATGAAGGAGGAGTTGTCCGATTGGGTGTAGTGTAATCCAGGTGACAGATAAACGGTCCACACTAATACAACACCATTTTACCTCTGCAGGTTCGCAGACCTCTTTACAGTTTCTTTTCAGTCAATCATACAAACACTTTTGTCTGTTGGGGAAGGGAGTACGTTTTGGCTTACAGAGGCTGAGAATCAAACCACCAACTCTGTCCCTTCCCTGCCCATTGGACCAAGACACAACTAGGTCTCTTCTTCTATTTGACCAAATAAAACAGGAATCTGTTGCTCACCTCAACAGGAACCAGAGCCTTTCACAGCACRTCTCGAAGCATTTTGTTTCTGTGTTTTTGCTCAGTGAGCTCTTCAGCAGTTTTCTTCTGCCTGTGTTAGCTCACATGTCTGTCTGGCAAAGTTCTCCACAGAACAGTTCCTCCTGCTCAGCTTTAGCTCATTATTTGTTCACATGTAGTTTAGTTTAGTGTTGACTTGAGATATTAAAGTTCAAGTATTGTTCCGATCTTCTTCCACAGTACAGGTCACGTAGTGTTGGTGTGGTTTGGTTTGAGGAGTTGAGCCGACCCATCTTAACCTTATTTGACAACATCATCCAGAGCAGCTTTGATTTGGACTCAGAGGACATCTGGACCATCAGTCACACTCCACCACATCATCAAAATCTACCAGATTCTCCTGAAGAGAAGACAAGGAATGATTTATTTAACGAGAGCCGAATCTGCAGGGCATCATACCGTCAGTGTGAGGAGAACACTCACCCATCCTCCATGGCTCTTGACCCACGGGGCGAAGCTCTCCATGTAGCGCTCTGCATATCCTTTAGTGCGTTGGGATCCTGTGGCTGTGACTATCTGTCGTGATACCTCCATACTAATAGCCATGCGTTGAAGAGTTGGACTGCGTGATGGTGGCAAGGGCGGAGCCTCAGACACCTCGCTGCTACCAAAGACATCTAGAACCTTGGCGAATGATGCATAGGAAAGACGATTCAAACTGGAGCGTAGAAATGGATCTGCCTGGATCTGTGGGAAGAAGCCAGGAATACATGTCAAAAACTGGTAAATCTGTTTTAAAAAACTGATATACACGTCATAAAACTGGTATACACATCATAAAACTGATTTACATGTTTTAAAAAACTAGTATATGTCATAAAACTGGTATACATGTTTTTAAAAACTGGAATATATGTCATAAAACTGGTATACATGTTTTAAAAACTGGTATTTATGTCATAAAACTGGTATTTGTGTTTTAAAGGAGACCAATTATGGGTCCTATAAATTTTTATGGTATGTCTGTGGGCTAT